ATAAGGGAAATATTAAAATATCTCCCCTGATCCTCTGCTAATTCAACAAAATTAAGGTCGTTTCAATAAAAATATTAAAATTTTCCCCCTCAAATAGTGAAAAATCTAAAGACATAGCTAACTATATAATGGTAAATATAGCAGATTCGAGATTATCAATATATTGCATGTCAGCTTTCTGATCTGATAATGCCTCAGTGAATTTGGTGAGAGTGTATTTACAGAATTGAGTCAGCACAATGTTGGTTGCGATATGTTCCTAATACTCGCCATCGATAGAATTTTAAAATTTTATAAACCTTTAAAAAATATTTCAAATTTTTTCCAATAATGAATGGCAGAGGTATAGTTAGGAATGATTTCATATGTAGGAAATTTACTACATGCTGTTAATATGTAGTTGCAATCAGAAGAATCTTAATAAAGATTCACAAAATTATGCTGAAGATGTGTTCATCTTTACAGTTAATAATTGATAATAAATTTTATAGCGTTACTGCTAAAACTTAATTATATTTTATATTTAAAATAATAGAACTAAATGTTTACCATCGTTATTAAGATATTTATAAAATTCCTGGCATGACATATTATATATTTGTTTAACCATTAGCTCGGCTTCTAATGTTGTTAAAGCAATCATTTCTCTCCTTTTCCCAGACAGTCCCCATCAGGCTAAAAATGCGTTCGAGAATGAGGTAAGGAGAAGACATACTCGCATATTTTTTTCCAAGCATGGGGATTTATCGTTATTACGAAAAAATTCTACCCATTTCTCCTCTGCTTTTAGATCATCTAACTTTAAGTATTTTGGCGAATCATAAAAAATAGAGAGAATTACAATCTCCTCAAACAAGATATCAATGTCTTTCGGTATTTTTAATATATTTATTAAATTATAAAAACCATCAAAATATTTATACATTTGTTAATAGAGTTATTAAAATCAAATTTTGATTGTAAATATTCTAAAATTGTCTTAATAAAAATATCTGCTTCATTTAAAAATGTATTAATTAGAGTATTATTTGAACATTTTAATATAATATTTTTAGCAATAGCGCTATAAAATTTATTATCAATTTTTAACTGTAGAGATGAACAGAGCTTTAGCATGCTTCTGCCATTTCATACTCGAAAAAATTTTTCAAAATTTTAGAACAGCTTTTAAAATCTCTATTAAAGAAGTATTTTTTTTAAGGTTTGTAAAATTTTAAAATTCTACCGATGGCAGGTATTAATGACAACCACCTGATAGGTATATATAGTAACAATTCACACCCTTCCAAGTCAGACCACTTCATCCTCTTTTAATTCATTAACTCTTTTAGTTGATAAATTAAATTCATTAAAACATTTCATCACAATTATTTCGACATCCTCAGATAGTATATTCATTGCCTTCTTGCAAGAATTATGTAGTATGTGGCATATACAGCCAATAGGTATTAATTCATTATTGTGCTGCCTCAATTCGGTAACTTTGGTTTTTACCAAAATTTACAGAGGCATTATCAGCGCAGAAAGCTGACATGCAAATCATTGGTAACCCTGAATCAGCTATATTTACCATTATGTGGCTAGCTACATTGTTGGATTTTTCATATCCGAGGAAAAATTTTTAACAGTTTTATTGAAATGTTCTTATTCTTATTGAAATAGCGAAAAATCGAGGGAAATCTTTTAATATTTCCCTTATTAAATGCATCTGTTAGAATTGCATATGGATGCCCATCTTAATCGTCTAAAATTGACCTCTAGGATTCAGGTACTAAAACACTTGTGATAGCCTTGCTCATTTTTGTTCTGCCACAAGTAAGGTTTGCACTTATATTGGAGTCGTTAAATATCATGAGAAAAAAATTCGACCCACATTGTGATGATATAGCTCTGTGAATGTTGAACTACATGATAGGTGTATACGATTTCCTCAAATGTAGTTGCATCTGTATTATTTATTATTTATTATTTTTGTGAATATTTTAGTATTGCAATCGATGTAGATATTCTCCCCTGTACTGAGTTATATGAATGAAAGATTTATTATTTGATAAAAATAAAACAGGAGAGAAAGAGATTTACAAACTAGACATGTTTTTCAAATAAATATTTAAAATTTATGTTAAAAAATTAAATAATCAATTAATGTCTCTCAAAATTATTATTTATATATTAAAAACGTTAAAAAACTATTAAAAAAAATTGCGGGAGAAATTAAAAGATTGCGGTAGATTTTTCGGGAGATTTCTAATCGCGGTAGTTTTGCGGGAGAGATATATCTGCGTGTAAACTAAAAAATTGCGGGAGTCTCCTGCTGATGTGGGGAGACATGGCAACCATGAGTGGGAATAATAGTAGATGCGACGAAATGGCAAGTTTTAAAAGGGTAGGATCCTTAAGATAGATATATAATTTTATTTAAATAATATAATTAAAATACTAAGTATTTGGGGAAAGGAAGGTAAATGAAAAGAAAGAGAGAACGAGAGAAAAATTTAAAATAAAAGGAAACTGGAAAGGAGAAAGGAAAGAAAATGTAAAAGAAAAGAATAAAAGGGGGAAATGAGAAAAATTAAAAGAAGGGAAAAGAGAAAGGGAAGGTAAGGGGAAGAGAAAGGAAAAGAAGAAAGGGAAAGAAAAAGTGTTGGGGAAAGAAAAAAGGCAAGGAAAAGAAAAAGAGAAAGAGAAGAAGGGCAGAAAAAAGGTTTTCGTACTAAATCGCCAAAAAATAGCTAAAAAAAATGGGACTCCTGATTGTATATCCTATAAAATTTTTAAGTAAAGATAAATAATATTAATAGATGCTAAGGAAGTAAATTCTGGTAATTAAATTAGGATTTTTTTTTTAATAAATAGCAAAAATGTGGGAAATAAGTACTCATTTTGAAAATGAATGTTTACTTCCTGGTATCTATTAATATTAATATTGCTTTAAAAATTTTTAGGAGAAAAAAATTGTAAACGAAAAGAGAAAGAGAAGGGATAGGAAATGAAAAAGTTGGGAAGAAAAAGGGTAAGGAGAAGGAGAATGAAAAAAAAGGGGGGAAAAGGTAAAGGAAAATAGAAGGGAAAATAAAATAAAGAAAAAGCGAAAAAAGGAATGGGTAATAAAAACTAATAGGAGAAGAAAATGGTAAACGAAAGGGAAAAGAAAAAGAGAAGGGATAGGAAAAGAAAAAGTTAGGAAGAAGAAGGGTAAGGAGAAGGAGAATGAAAAGAAAAGGGGGGGGGGGGAGGGTTAAGGAAAATAGAAGGGAAAATATAATAAAGAGCTTAAAAAGGAATGGGTAATAAAAAGTAATAGGGGAAGAAAATGGTAAACGGAAGGGGAAAGGAAAAGAGAAGGGATAGGAAAAGAAAGGAAAAAGGGAAAGTAAAGGGAATAAGGGGAAAAAAAAAATTACAAAGCAAAGGGAGAAGGGAAAAATGGAAAGGGAAGGAAAAAGGATAAGGGAAAGAAAGGGGGGGGGAAGACCAATGAATATAGAAAAGATAAAGGAATGTAAAACGAAATGGAAAAGAAATAGAAAAATGGCAGGAAGAGGGAAATAAAAATGAGAAGGAAAATAAAAAAAAAGAGAAGTGACTAACTTAATTTTTTTATGGTGGCAGAATTTGTTGGATTTTGTGATCTTTGGAAAGTTTATTTTGTTGATTAACCTCACTTTCTTTGTTTAGCCACGCAGCGTCTACATAACAGGATTTTCACTGGATGCAAACCCCCTTCAAAAACCTTTGCCTACCCCCCTAAGAAATATACTCCATCTTCAGGCGGTGTCTCTTTATTATTATTTTCACCTATTTTTTATTGATACTCTTTTCAAAGAATAACTTAAATTAATCAATCTCTACTACCAACTATCGATATTTTGTGAATATAAAGAATTTATTTTTTAGATAATAAATTCAAATAAAACCTACATTATTTACAATGAATTAATTATTATGGCATTATGAGCTTGAAATATCTAAACCTTTTAAATTACATTTAAAAGAATAGTTTATTTGGAAAACAATGTGTATGATTGTTTGCAATATATAGATTTGGTCGATGAATTGTATTATAATAATACTATAATAAAAGTATTAATTTTTACAGCAATAAATTTTGTCATATTTCATCTCAAAATTTAATAGATAACCCCCCCCCCCCCCCAATTTTTTTTTTTTATCATACCCCTATTAAAGCAGCTTACCCCCTGCCCCCTCAAAAAATAGGATGCAAACTGTTCCTACCCCTCCCACTCATGTAGAAGCTGTAGTCACGACAGATTAATCAAAATTTGTACAATCCTTAAGAATGGTTAAGACAGGACCTGTTATCTAAAATAAAAACAAAAGAAAACTTTATAAAATTATAAAGGACTGACTCAGAGGAGTCACCATTAGATATGTCTTTCTAATTGATAGTGTAACCCAATAGTTTCAATTTTACTTGAATATTAAATTTTACTACATATCTGCGCCACATTGTAATTTATGATAAAATATTTATTTATTTTATTATTTTTTCATATATTTACAAATAATATATTAATTTTATTATAATTATTTTTTTAATATTTTTAAATAAAAATAAATAAATACCCACCGTTGACAATATATACCGATGACATGACATCACGAATCCCGTAACGAGGACATCGGTAAATTATATATAGATTTTAAAATATTATTAATGAATATAGAATAGAATTAACATTTCCTCATGTTGGCTTTTGGCAATTACAACAGCTCGATTTTTAAAAAATTCTAATTTAAGATTTGGGCCAAAATATATTAGGAAAATCTGGAGATTTTGTTCATAGGTGACCTAAAGGTTTGGCACCTATTAACAAAATCTTGAGGTCTGCTTAATATTGTTTGGCTAAAATAAGTTGTTAGACTTTTTTAAAATCGCGTTTAATAACACTACACCTAAGCTATCAATTTATTGTAAACTGTCAATATTTAAATGATTGATATCATCTTTTAATTTTCGTCATATTTCATTATTTTCAAAAATTGCAGGGTTTCAATTTTTTATCTGCCCAAAAACATAACCAGCAATCATTATACGCCTAATTAATAATATAGAATTTAACTTTTGGGCATAAGACTATATTACTCGCGCGACAACGTATCTTGGCTCGTGTATTTATGCATTATTCTTATTTTTATGCTTCCATTCTATTTTGGACTATAATTAATATACTGCATTTAATACTAGTGGTAATATTTGCAAAGATATCTTAAGCATTTACAATATATTTAATTATAAGCGTAAAAAAGAGAGATATCAAATATTTTAAAGAAATTTTTGAACATGTTGCTATTATCATTTTTTATTAATAATTTTCATGATAAGATATTAAAAATGTTAAACATACATAAAAAAATTAGATTACATATATCTCATACTGAAAAACAAATCGCACACAAAACAAAATCCTATTTAGATAAAGAAAATAAATTTCTATCTAAATTATTAGATAATAATTGCTTTAATAGGGCTGATAATTTTTTTGACCTTAAAAATTCAAAAAATATATTACTAGGAAAAATTGAAGAAAAATATTCATATCTTAAAGCATCAATTTATATGCTAAAAAATGTAAATTATTATAAAGACTTGTGTTTATATGAAACAGATAAAAATTTTCCTCATATGACCCAATCTATACTCAAAAATTTAATTAATTTGCCTAATTCAGATCATAGAGATCTTATAGAAATCTTATATATATTTAACACCTTATATTCTTTAAAAAATGGCAAAGAAAACCCAAAATTTGATTTAAACTTACATGATATTATCACCATTTTAGAACGATTTTGTATTTTTCATTTTCAATATATGAATAATGACATGAAATTACTTTTACTTGACATACTTTGTAATAAAAATTTGAAAAGTTCAAATATTTGTACCCAACTTATTAATAGATTTTTCATCTCTGCATCTACCTTGAATTCATTTCAATTAACTCAATTCATGTTTTATATCAATCTTATAAGAAAATTAGATTTTAAATTTGCAAACAAATTGTTGGAATTATTTAAAATTCATTTTTGTTCACTTAACACATCCCAGATTGCTATTATTTGTAGTGGGTTCTTTAAATCAAACAATATAATTAGAGATCAGGAAATCTTATGTTTGATATTAGAACATATAAATTCAGTTATAAAAGATAACGACATAATAAGCAATGTACAAGATAATACCTTTATCACCTTAGTTCTCACGATAATCAAATCTTTAAGATCAGGCCTCATCTTAAATGCTAATTCCCAACAAAAATGTATTATTTTTTTGCAAAATTTATGTGCTATTAATAAAACTCAAGAACTTCCATTGATTGTTTTATCACATGCATCCTGGTTAGCATCTAATTTGCAAATAAATGACCCCCCGTTTTTTACTATAACCTATAATAAACTTCAAACTGACCTTTCAAACAGTAGACTTAAAGAAATCACTAAAATCATATGGTGTCTATCCAATTTTGAGATGAAAAAATATCAACATTTTGATGGTTTTGCCTTTAATTCAAAAGATGAATTAATAAGTAATGTCTTGAAAGAACTCGAAAAACCAAGTCGCCAAATAGAATTATTACATTTTTTTGACCATTTTGCAGTTCTCATGTACGCTTTTTCTATCATCAACGTTTACCCATTACAGTTACTCCGATCATTGTTTGATCATTTAAACGACAGAGAGTCATTTAATTTCGAAACCGACAACATTAAATCTGGCGTTCAAGCAAAAGTTTTTGGGGATTATAAATCAAGTCAAATTTCACGCGCTCCTGATAAGACTCACGTTTTATTCGACGTCTTATACCCACTCTACGCGTCCTTCAAAATTGAGCGACTGGAATTTAAAGACACCATATCACACCCTTACTTTGACTCTCTTCTTAGGGCCCACGAGTTAAAATCGTTGAACTTAAGCCAAAGGTTAATGCAAAAAAATTCTTTTGATAGTATGTTTGACGTTAAGAGACCATCAGCGCAGAAAAAAGAATCACAATTTAATAACAAATTTTTTAGTGACGAGATTCATGCGCAAATTAGCACTTTAACGCCAACAGACTTCCAAATAGGACCGAAAACGGGGTTACGTCTCAATTCATTACCGTCACTTATACATATATTGCCTCACAACCGATCCCCCATGATTTATCTCAATCTCAAGATAATGGACAAATTTGGCCATCATATCGAAAAGATTACCAATTCATTTATTGGCGAATATTTGGGTAAATCAAATTCATTATCCCATTTAGCTTCCCATCCCCATCTCGTTGTAGTTCCCGCTGCTTACCACAGTTACGACACCTCTAGGCAACTTACGGGCAAATTTTTGGCCAAATTGAGACAATTGCGTACCTTAAAATATAATGTAGCTTTAGTATCATGGAGCGAGTATTCGAAAACGGAAAATAAGCAGTTATACATGAAGCAACTAGTGTCAGAACATTTAATGGATAGATACGGCGACTAATTTTTTTTATTCTTCTACTGTTTAAAGAAATTCCTTCAGTGATTATACATCACCCCTTTTGTATTCAATATTTATATACATATTTATATACATAAACTAGTCTTAATCTTTTATGAAAAATGCAAATAATGAATAAAGCGATATTATAAAATTTGTGGATTTTTTAAATAAATTATCAATTTGGTAATTGGCGTATTAGCACACCAGTTCAAGATCATCTTTTTCCATATCAGCCGTTAAGACTTTTAATAATTAACTTTTTTGGGGAAAAGAAATGTGTATAGGGAATTAATTAGCTAACTATTTACGTATTAAAAATAAATGGACTATTCCAACTTTTTATGGCTTAATTACTATTTTGACCCGATATTAACATAAAAACATAAATTCATTTATCCGCCATTTCGATATTATCAGAAAATCACTTAAAAATATCGACATTCCTTTCTATATCAAAATTTTTTTTCTCCCCTTAATTTGCAAATCATTATTTTATAAAAAAATAATAAATCAAGCGTATTTTCGGAGAGAGTTATAGCATGCTATTACGATGCGCTGGAGTTCAGGTATCCTACCTGAAAATCACGTGGTCTTTTAACCAATCCAAAGACATCGAATACCCAACCCACTTAGGTACCCCAAGTTATCTCAAATTTTTTCGTATCTACTTTGTGGCCGGAGCAGTGTTCGCTGTCATAGCTATGTTTTCTGCTTACATCGTTCTTTTCTACAACATCTATCTTAATTTGTTCTTTAAGCCTATCCCTCTCGGTGCCGCTTCTGCCATTCGTCCCATAGTATGTTTTATAACCACCTCTTATTAATAGCTTAAAACTAAACTATGTTTTGAAAATTATAATTAGTTACCAGGAACGCCTGCCTTACCTTGGTCCCACACCCCTCACATTATCTTGAGTTTGATCTTGTCGACCGTCTTTCACGAATACGGTCATATTTTAGCGGCTAATAGGTACATCTATCCTAATCTAAATCTATATAACCTTTTCTCGTAATTTTTCCTAATATAATTCTTTTAATTTAAAAAAAATAACTACAACACTAAGAATGAACATCAGGGTGGAAAAGATTGGCTTTTTCCTTTTTTGGATTTTTCCAGGTGCGTACGTAAAGCTAGACGAATCGCATCTACTGAACGCTAAATCTAGCACTCGTCTATACGTATCCTCGGCTGGCGTTTGGCATAATTTATTGTTAGCAGGTCTCTCCTGGACTTTCGTTAAATTATGCCCTTTTTTATTTACCATGGGTTATCACCATAACAGCGGAATTATAGTGACTTATATCAAACCAGTAAAAAATATAATTAACCATTCATTACAATATATTAATAATAGGAGTGTTGCATTACTTATATTAACCAAGAAATACTTGATTTTATTGATTTTTTAAGTATAAATGACAAATATTTTTAAAAATTTGAACCGAATCATAAAATAAGTTATTTTCTAATTGAACCATTTATCCCCCTAATTTTGGTGGTACACAACGAACTAAAAGGAAGAAAAAAATAAATCATTAACTTATATTGGTAGTAAAACCCATAGAAACCTACCTTAAATGTTATTTAATTTGAAACTTTTCCTGGCTTATTTAAATTAGTGTTGTTAAACAGGGATCGATTTTTATAAACAACTAACCCAACATTTTAGCCAGAATATAATACACAAGCCTGGAGATTTTGCTCATAGATGTTTAAGATGTTTGGACATCTATTAACGAAATATCGAAGCTCGCGAAGTGTTTATTTTAAAATAAAAATTGTGAATTAACAAAAGCTAACTTTCAAATGTGTATATAATAATTATTTTCAGACATAAGACAAAATATTAATTAATATTTAAGGATTGACTTATTCCTGAGTATGTCAATGGCTTTAGTATTATTATTTAGGAGGAGGGGGAGGAGTGCTTAGAAGCTAATTTTTTAATAATGGTAATAGGGGGGGGGGTCCTCGTTAAAATTATTTTTGTTATATTAAGAAATGTTAATTAACAACTTTAAAATTATCTAATTTTGTTTAAAATAAATTTGGAGGGTTCAAAAAAAAATGCGAAGCATCCCTTTGCTCTCTCACCCCCCTTCCCCCCCCCTATTTCGCTTATGAATTCATCATTAGAATAACAGTTTTAGTTTTTTAGATTACGAATTCCAGGAGTCATCTTCGACATTTAGCTTTAAGTTATTGACAAAAGGAGATGTCATAATAGTTAAGATTGAACGATAAAATTAAGTTTTTTTATATAATAAAATGTAATTGATTACAAATATAACTAGTAGTAATTACTAATTACCATTATCTAAAAAAATTAATTAATTAAAAAGTTTTCATTTAGTTTGTTTTAAATTAAGATCCGGAGGTGTTAAAGAATCAATTTTTTAAAAAAAATGTTGGATTAAGTTTTTAGTCAAGTGGGCAAATTTTTTTTGGGACATATTATTAGAAGTTTTAAAAAGGATTTTTTTAAAATTTGCTTTGACATGAAAGTGTTTACCTTTTTTTAAAAAAAATTTACATTATATATTTGTATTTAAATAATAGACCTTTTTTAAGTAGTTATTATTTTGTAAAAAGGACGAAATTTTAAGAATTTGACAAAATAAAAATAATCTTAAAAGAAAAATATTTAAGAGAAAAAAGAGTTATAGTTATATATGTTATGAATATAATCTTTTGAATCTTTATTATTACGGAGTCGATATTTCCACCCGGATTAAGTGCTTTATAAACTGCATTGATGGCAATCAATTAATTACTAAATATTTTAATGAGGGTCACTCAGCACAACGCTGATACTTTTGTTAAGCCGCGCCTTGAAATTATTAGACGCAATTCAAGAAGCGTAAAGCTGTTATTTATTTCTATACTATTACGAAATACCAATATTTGTTAAAAATTTTGTTCACTATTAATTTTACCAATATAAATAATATGTCAGTATTTAATTTTCAATAAAAAATTTTTTTTCCAGTTAACCCATTAATGGTCAAAATTTTTCTAGTGGATAAAAATGCTCAATTTTTTCAAATTATATTGATTAATGCTCAAATATGATATTCTAAAAAAATCAGCCAAAAAAAATAATCCTAAATAGAAAATCTAGCCTGGTGCATATATGCACCGTTAACCATTAAGAGGTTAAAAAAGATAAAAATTATATAAAATACTATAAGATCAAAAAACAACAAATATCTTTATTCTTTTTTTGTAATTTATAATAAAAACGAGAAAATGTTTATATATTGTGAAAATCCTTGAAACATATGGAGTGCGATTTGACATGTTTGGCACATATATCTTGAGTGCGTATGGCAATATCTGCATCTTCGTCTTTTTCCATCTATAATTTTGGATAAATAATGTCCAGATGAATCAATAGGGTTTTCACACTGTAATGCAAACTGGCTGGTGTGACCTGTACTTGAATTTTTTTCTATTTTTACTGACGATCGAAGGAGGTAATTAGTAACTTCTCATTTAAATGCAAGAAACTCTTCTTGTCATCTCGATTCGCGAATTTACAGATTTTCCATAAATACCAAAGCTACATCAATAAAATTGGTGAATATTGGCCACCACCATTTTTTTCCTCTTATTTTTATTCTATATGTAGATATTAGATTATCACATAGATCAACTCCACCCATGTGTTTGTTATAAGCACTTACCATATTTGGCTGATGAATTTTTATTTTAGAAGATATTTTCTTAGAATACCTTGAAACATTAGAAAGCAAAGAGATAGTGTGGCATGTCGATGCAACGGTCACCATCGAATTATCATTCCAACGAACTACAAATATTTCGTTTAATTTTTCAAACCTATAATCATAATATCCTCTTTCTTTTTTTGCTACAACCTTTATAGATTCAACTGGGCAATGCTCTATTCTATTGTCCCTCACAGTTCCAGTTGCAAAATATCCCATTTGTTTTAAGTATGACAAGAGTTTAAATGATGTAAAGAAATTATCAAAATATATTTTATGATAATTTGGTTTTTGCAATTTAATAATTTTATGATTACATTTCCACCTAATCCATATTCATATTTATTTTCGCTTTTTCCTTGATATATATCAAATGAGAATACGCAACCGTCGGAAGAAGCCAATATCCAAGACTTGTATCCGAATCTAATTGGTTTTCCTTTTATGAACATTTTGCAAGAATGTCTTCCTCGATATGGTATCATCTCGTCATCTATTGATAAATGATGTTTGAAAATTCCGAATTGCTGAAATTTATTATTCAATATATTAATGTAAGGCCTAACTTTATAAAATCTATCATGTATATCTATTTTAGTATTGTCTGCCAAATGGATATTATATTTCAAATTTCGAAATTGTAATTGGGTCATTGTATCCCGGATTATTGGAATAGAAATATCGCTATCATTAGACCAGTACATTCTTTCTTGTGGGAGAGAATGATATCCAGTAAATAATAGAATTCCAATAAATCTCTGAATATCTTGGATGGTTATGCATATGTTAGGTCTATTCATTTGTTTAGCATAAATATTATTTTGTTTTACAATTAGTGAATATAAGTCTTCGTCGAAAATTAAAGAAAATATATCTGATGGACTTTTACCATGTAAATCATTTTCAAGTTTTATTACATCTTTCTTTTATCCATTGAAAGGACCTGAAGAATATATTGCATCCGTTTTTCTCCATTTTAAATTGTGAGAAATTCGAGAATAGCTTCTTGTAGAATATGGTTCTGGAAGGTCGTCATCAACTGAATTATGAATCTCCAATTCTCCAGCTGTATCTGAAGGCAAAACTCCGACATTTGTTAAGTCATTTTCATCGAAATCTTCTTCATCACTAACTGCAGAGGGGTTTGGCGGAATTATAACCATATCTCTTTCTTCAATTGGTTCCTCTTCAAAAAGTTGAGCAAGCGTTTGTTCAATTGTTAGAAAACGTTTCATTAAAAAAATTTATTAAAAATTAAATATCTAGACAAATTATTTTCGTAGAATCTTGATTTTTTTATTAGTCATCTATTATTTTGATAATTTTGATTGAATTGACAAAACAGGTGCATAATATTTTATATAAATAAAATAAAATCTTTAGAAAGGAAGAGGCTAAAAATAATTTTAAACTTTTGAATATTTATGAACCTAATAATTTCATATAATTTGATCGGGATAAAAAATTATAATAGGAACAATATATTATTCGATTTAATCTCAGGGGGCTAAAAAATTTTTTTTAATTATTTTCAAAAGGTCTTTTTTTGGGTATAAAATTTTTTAAAAAAAATTCTTAGGGGGCTCGAGCCACCCATCCCTCCTCCCCCCACCCTTAGTGACGGTAGTGGTTTTAATATAAAAAATTATAATTCATTATGTTAAATTTCATTTGTTTGAATTTTTTAAATAATTTATACTGCTAGATGGTTAACGGTGCATATATGCACCAGTCAACTTTATGTGGTTACCTATTAAAATTTTAATTATTTAAAAATTCAAAAATGATTGATAAATATTGATATATCTATAAAGAATATATACACACTAGTTTTCATCGAAATAATTTTATAATATGCTTGTGAGATGACTTAAAAAATTTTGCATTTTAGACCTCATAAATTCGCAAAGTTTGAGGGTTTCTTAGGGACATAAAAAAATATTTTTTTCATATTTTTCTTTTCCAGTTTTGAAGTACAATGTCTGAACTATATAAAAATCTTTTTTATTATTTTTTAAAATAAAAACTACTATGTTAAAATAAGGTATATAGGAGGTGGTGCATATATGCACCGTTAACCAGTAACGGGTTAATAGATTAAACTATTTTTTACAGGACTTGATTCAACTTAATTCTTATACTTAATTGCTGTTTAGCCTATACCAAACAGCTTTTGAAATAGGACTCCCTATTTTGGGTTGTTTTAAGTATTTGGTGGAATTGTTATTTTTCGTATTAATTTTCGTTTTTTTTTTTCGTTTTTTAAAATTTTTTTAAAAAATGTTTCTTTTTCTTATTTAATCTGTTTCGGCTGTACCACACCCTCACCACTTATTACTTCTATACTTATTCACTATATCTAGTTTTAAAAACAATGCTTATTGTTATTTGTCAGTAAACATTTTTCTATTATTTTAATCCAATTAAATAAGTACATTATTTAAAATGATTTTTTTTAGTATCAAAATTTTTTTATACGTTAGCGGTAATGTGTTATTTTTTCAACTTTATATTATGTTTTGATCTCGTTTTTTTGAATTTAAAAATCTAATATTACAGGAAATAGATTGCATCATGTTTGGGATACCTATCTTATGAATTCCAAGACAATTTCGCTATAAACTTTTGAACTTAATATAATTTATATTAGCTTTCTGATCATCACTAATTCCAATCATGACGAATCTTTGTCACATCATATTTTTTTGTTAAATAATAATTAACCATACTAAGATTCCAAAATCTTTTTTCTGAACAAAACCTAATTCATAAATTTTATTAGCCACCATATGTACGAGTGTAGTAGAATATCGGTTAAATTTTATTTTTAATACATTATCTAACGATTCACAGTTATTGTTTGTATAGAGATTAGGTATCACCTTATTTTTTAAAAAGGTATATAGCGGCAATGTGTTATTTTTTAAACTTTAAATCATTTTTTTAACGCGTTTAAAATTGAAATTTTAATTTTACCGGAAATATATTCCAATATGTTTAAAATACCTATTTTATGAATGTAGACAATTTTGTCGTTAACCTTTGAGTCATTTATAATTTATATAAAAAATCTATGTAAAAACTAATATAAATTATACTAAGTTATAAAGTTCATGGTGAAATTGTCTAAAATATATAGGGTAGGTATTCCAAACTTGATAGAAATCCGGTAAAATCAAAATTTTAAATTTAAAAAAAAATGCTTCAAATAATTAAAGTTGAAAAAAATAAGACATTGACGCTAACATATACATTAAAAATGAATTATCCCCTTAAACCGGTATTTAAGCACCAATATTGTAGAGAAAAACCAATGAGCCAAAAATTTCTAGTTAAAATATTTTCCCTTATTCTTGAATTGATTCCCTTTATATCCTGTAAAAAATAGTTTTCATATAAAAAGTACTTAATACATGTGTAGAATTATTAAAATTCTTCCTTAATGAAGTTATTAACCCTAACTCCTCATCGCTGCCGAATATAAGATTTTTAGCATTTTTTTTGAATACGCCTACCAAGTGCAGAAAGAAAATGTTAAAGGTTTCATAATTAGAGCTTCCATGCAAAAATATAGAACCAAAGAATAAATATTTAACCATAAGCAATGGATCTAAATTATAAGTTTTGTCAACACCTCTAATTCTAAGAAAGAACAAATAATTTGATACTATTATCTATATTAAGCTAGTATATAATATTAATCAACACACTTTGTTTTGGCTTATGTATATTTTTTTCCCCAATATTGGACCTTACATAACACAGGTGAAAAAAATGAGAAAGTCTAGATGGGGTTCTTTCGGACCTCAATTTTGACACGTTTTAACTTAGAATTAAATTTATTTTTAGTTTTCATATTTTTAACATATTACGTGATACGTGATAAAAGCGTTTTCGCCCTCTGGTTGTGGGTACAACAGAGCTACGCTAGGTTTTCCTCAAAATCCATCAAACTGGATAGTTAATTAGGGGAAGAAAAATGAGGAACCCTTCACACATTTGTGGGCAAGCCGCACGTACTTGTAGGCACAACATTTCGAAAAAAGTTGCTTAAACCTCTATAGGCTTAGTAAAAATGAGTGGGGTAAAAAAGAGCCTATACCCGAGAACTACAGTATAATTTAATTACTTTAAAGGTGGGTGATGGCTGATTTTAAGTTTAAATTCTTTAATGTATGTTTTGTCAAATTTAGTGACACTGTTATATTAAAATTTTATGACAGCTTTTGACAAGATAGTCATAAAATGTCAAATTATTTTGAAATGTTACAATATGATATAAAAAAATAACATTGATGATGAAGAATGTTTATATAGAGTTTAAATATTAATATAATTTTTAATTAATAAAATATATATATAACAAGTGTTTATAACGTTTTTTAAATGATTTAGGTTTGCATAGTCCCACCTGTGTTATGAAGTGTTATAAAGGAAAGTGTTCCAAGAATTGACTACAAAATTCGTCGATAAATTGATACAAGAAAAAAAAACCCTTTTAATTAAAGCATGTCTGTATCAAAAATTTGTTAGTTGAATTGAATAAAATATTATAAACAAAGTTATTGTTAATCAAATATTACATTATCAAACAATTCATTATTCATTAATGAGTAAAATGTTATCTAATGTTTCTTTATTTGGTAGCGGGCGGTTGGCGATAAATTCTAGTGCGGTGAACGCGCGTTCAACTGACACCTGAGAAGCGGGAGTGGCCAATACGATGTGCGATAATTCGTAAAGTTCGGGGTCTTCAAATCTTTTCGAGTACCAATATTCTAAAATATTGGTATCAACTGGAATTATAGTTTGGTTAGAGAGTTCGCTTAATTTTAGTTTAAAATCTTTTTCTAGTTTTATTTCACTTAGTATCGAAGCCTTTATTATATTTACATTTATAAAAAAATTAATCAGGCTGTTTATAAAGAATATAGTAGTATATACCGTGCCGCATTCGTTCTCCATAAAGAGGTCGAGTTTTGATCTGTTTCCCTGATTCATTGCTATTTGGGGCTGCTTTGAGCCTTGCAACGATTTCCACAAATTAACAAGAAATTTCTAAACGATTTAATGTAAAATTATTAATCGATTCCATATAGAGCTGTACCGATCCACAAAATTTTCACCGATTCGATCCGTATCATTTAGAACCGAGATCGAGTTGAATGGGATCGACACAGCCCATAATTCCATATTTTTAAATACCATAGCTCCCTCCTTTTCGTCATCTTTGATAAATGGTGATCGCATGAAATTGAAGCGAGGGTCAATAAATGTGGCCGCTCTAAATGCGTCATTTTCAAATAACCGGGACGACATTAAAGTCATCATCCCTAATATTTCTTCAGCAATGCCGTTTTAGTTTCCACGAGATTTAGTTTACATTCCAACCAAAGTTTCATGAAATCTCCGATCATCAGCTGTTCTCTTTCAAGTTTCTGCGTGGTGTTATAAAGCGAACCGAAGGCCTCAACAAATTCTTGTACGAATTTCCATTGATGCTCGTCCATATCGCACTGTTCTAGGTCTTGGTACAATGCTCGATTGTCGTGCAAATTTTTCATCGAATAATTGGTATCCATCTTGTTAAATCGCGGGTTCGGCACCTTTTTATTCTATACAGCTTGATCGAAGCATCGCGCACCGTTTTGATGTGCGAGATATATTTTATAACCATGCCGTTAGCTATCAATTGAAAGGTGTGAGTTGCACAACGAAAACTGCTCAAATTGGTGTTCAAATTTTCAATTACCATATTCATGTATTCCTCAGCCTCATCCTCAAGAAAATCGGTAAGATTATTTTCTTCTAAGAAGGAACCATCGGGATTGGTATCATTGGCAACAACCGTTTGAGGGTCATTCTTATGCTCTATCGTTTTTATCCTGCGTGCACCATTATCAATGATGCAAGAATAAATTTGAGACAAGTTAATACCGTATTTTTGGAGTAACACTTTAATCTCTTTTTCAAAAGTTATCACTGGTGTGCCCTTTAGATAATCGGAGTATTCCTAACCAACGAATTTGAAGATTAGCCTCGTTTATGAATTGCACGTTTATGCCTTAATAAAAAATAATAATTTAATAACTGATTGGTACGAATACATCGCCTTGATCAAATTAATTAGAGTATAGTCGACGAGACATTTACGAAAATCAATATTGTGTATAACATTAAAAACATTAACCAGTGCATTTATACCCTCAATTGTAACCGATGCTAATAGCCGATGTATAAAATGTTAGATCCCCACACTGGACCTATTATTTAGGTCTAACTGCTCCGATAAAATTTTTTTAGGATCTGAGCTGCTCAAGCTTATATCCTGTCGACCCGATCTGACCCCCTCTCGAATTCGAGTGGGTACTTGGTCAGATGTCGCGAGATCTATTAAGAATTGACTCACAATCACAAATTAAAATCGGTTTCAGAATCAGTAATTCTTAAAATGTAAAAAGGAAAAAAAAATAGTTAGAAATGTTCATGTTCCTCTTTATATTGAAAGATTAGAATTCTAAAAAATGGCTTACCTGTATGCTTTAATTAAACTCTTTTTTTTCAAGGATTTTCGTAAGGCAAAATTTTTTTAAAAAAATTCAAAGAAGTTTTAAAATTCGAATGAAATCTTATGTTAAATTTTTTGATTTAAAATTTTATAGAAATATATTTTGGACATGTTTTTAATATTTTATTAAAAAACAGCTTTGTGTTCGCACTTTGAAGATATATAATTATAAATAAAATAATGGAACATGCGCGAAAGATATACCTTTTCTGTCTGGGTCTGAAAACCTTTACCCTTTAAGTCCAGACTGAACTTGCGCATAGCTCCAATAAAAAATAGGATTCATATAATCTTATTATACTTAATATACATCCTTCTTGCGCAGTTTTCGCTATGTCGATTTTCAAGGATACCATTTTTTTGATTCCGTCGCAGATTTGTTGACGGATTTTTTGCGCGGCCTCCCCTATTTTCTCTGTGATATATCCGCGATCGAAGTTAACAATTTCCAGGGCTTGACATATGGGGTCTCGAATAATTTTGAAGGACGAGGAATCGATTAAACGAAACCCGTGGTCAGTTGTTAGTTTTAAATAAGCCTTGGCAAAGGCTTGGGTGGTTAAATTGAATTTTGGTTCGTTTTCCTGGTGATCAATCAATTCCAAATTGGTCGCGATAACGTGATGGCATCTTATTATGTGCCTCTTGAGATTTCCCGCGATGAAACTTTTGAACGATTTATTGCAAATGTTGCAATACGTGAGATTAGCGTCACCATTGAAATTGAAATATTCATTTAATATTTTCCTAATTTTAGATTTCGCCATATTTTTTTTTCATTTACTAATAATCACGGAGGAATATAGATATTATCACGATTTTAAAAGCCTTCGTTATTTTTGAAAAAATAAATGAAAAAAATGAAAATGTTTCCGATATTTTTTTTTGAGGCTTTTTTCATTTATTATTTGTCATGATTTTTTTATTATCTCAAATGAAAAACCATAGATAAGATTTCAATCACGCAAAAAATAAACAATTTTTTTTAAAAAATAATAATAAACCATCTATGAATAAAATTGTTCGAATTTAGAAAAAAAGAAGCCATGTTTTATTTGTTTTATTTTTTTCTCATAAGAAAGGATAAATGAATGAAGGAATTATTCATAAATCTCAAAAATAATGATGGAAAATAAGAATGAATGAGTTTTTTTTTAAAATTCATTATTTTAAAAATTTAATTTTCTTCCTCACAAGGGTGTGTCATTTAGCACGTTGGTCTGCGACCCGTCCTAAAACGCACGTGCCAAAGAAACCATACATTGAGGGGTATGATTAATTTCTCTTCTCTTCTCTCATCTTAATCCATATATACTGCGAGGAAAATTTGTCAAAATATTTACATTGAAAATGGAATTTTTAAGAGTATATAAATGTGATTTCTGATTTGTAAATTTTTATTTTACAACCAGAATAAAAGCATTTATTCCCACAATCCAGTTTGGTAGAGAAAAGTAAATATTTTTGTGATAAGACTTTTTTTCTTCAAAATTTTGATTATGAATACTTATATATATATATAAAATTGGATGCAGTAAATTGGAATATGGTTTTGAAGCCCTTTATATGATTCATAAGAAATTGACTAGTAAGTAATCGTAATAAAATTATTGTTTTATGTAGATATCCGAAGAGTCATTACGCGGGACCCAAATTGGCCCTAGTCATGAAAACTTTTAAGAGCCCCCCTAAAAAAATCTGCATATAAATCTAAGCCTCCCTCCTCCCACAAGTCACATTTAATAAGTTAGCTATACCACGGCTTCATGGTTTTATTTGGAAAATCCTAAAAAATATCTTATTCATTTTGATTTTTTACAGTTTATAAAAAGAATCAGAATGATTAGTCATTAATATTCGAAAAGTTACTTTTATATGATATCTTACTATCTACTAGCTACATTTATCAATAATATTGCAAGGTACTTTGAAATAAAATTATTTGATAAAACTCCTCATTTTTAATATAATTTTTTTTAAAATATATTATATAAAATGAAATACAAATGTAAATAAAAAATAATATTGCACTGAAAAAAATAATGCACCACAATATAGCATTGAATGAAAAAATGCTATATAAATAAACACCATGTGTTGCTAAAGGGCTCTCAAGATTTAGCTAAAATATTTTTACATAAACCTCGAAATTCCTTCCTCTCATCTGTGGGCAATATTTCCAAGTTGGGCAATTTACTGACTAAAATCTTGTTTGCCTTTGTTAAAAATCGATATTAAACAACACTAAATATAATATATATATTTTTGGATCCATACAAATTTTCAAAAAAAATAATTCCCTAAATTGGCATCTTTTTATTTTCCTCCAAAAATAAGCTTTCATAAACAAATGTTCTAAAGGAGAGCTGGTGAGGTTGATTTAAATGAGATATTATATTTAATAAACAGTAATTTTATTCTAAGAAACCATCTAAAGGTAGAAGATTTTTAAAAAAAAATAATTTGTGATTTCATCATTTATATGCATGAAAATTACAAAATATTTACTTATAAAAAGATTTCTTTTTTTTTTTACAAATATTGGCATTTTTAGGTAAAATTTATCTTTCTTCTTTAAAAAATAGTTTGCTTATATTTTGGAAAATTTTTTTAAAAATATTTTGAGCAAAATTTGCAATTGATTCAAAAATTAACGAATAATTCAAATATCAAATTTTTTTTAAAATGATTAATATTTACGATTTGATTTCAAATTGAATAATTTGTTAATCATATAATCGTAAATTCAAATCGAATCGAATATCGAATTATTTTCGATAAGGTTAAGTTATAGGGTTAGATAAATAGAACCCTATAATATATGAAACTTTAGGCTTAAAAAGTTTTTCAAAAAAACTATTAAATTTCATAAAAACAAAAATTAAAATAATTCATGACCAAATTATCTAAAATTTATAGGAATAGGGGTATATAAACATGATCTTTAAATTTAAAAACGCGCTTCAATAGAGGATTTTTACTCCAACAGTAAATCATTTAGAAATGAGAAATATCAGATTTTTACGGTGTTCAAGCATGTGTAAGATATTCCCAATACTATTAATTTTACAGGGTGATAGTTTGTATGCCAGAAAATATTATCTCTATAATTATATACATCAAAGTTACTTTTTTAAAATATCTAATTAGTTTCAAAAGTCAATAATCGCATTTTTATTTTAAGAGGTATGTGTTGGAAAGCCGGACCATACCCATCTGGCCCAATGCCCAGGCTGACTATATTATCAATAAAATATAGGGTCCGGCTTGTGACCGAACTAAGAAAATTTTTTAAAAAAATAAAAAAGAAAGATAGGGAAATAAGTACTATTTCATTTTTTGATATTATATTCTTCTTATAATTAATAGTATTAAAAAATGATCTAAGATCTTGAAAGATATTTAACGTAATGATCTGCTTCGGACCTAATTTTTCAAGCCCGGCCCGAAATTTTTTTAAAAAAGTTTTTGCCGGCCCAGCCCGAACCCGAATTTTTTTTAAAAGAGTATAGCCGGCCGGCCCGAACCCTTTTGAAAAAACTTTACCGGGGTCCGAATTTATTTAAATATAGTAATTTTATAAAAAAATTATAATTACTCAAAATAAAAGATATTGTCATATGGCGTCTAGTTTCTATAAATAAAATCAAATATTTTTATTTTACATAAAAAATTCAACAAAAATTACAAAAAATTTTATACTTATAAAAGATTTTGGCTTATTTAGACCAAATTTGATCAAATATTTCTTTTCAAAAAAAAATTTTTGCTCAAAATTTTTTTGAATTAATGCACAATGTTAAAATCGGGGTTTAATAAAAATCTTTAAATAAAGTATTTGGAGATTTTTAGGCCAAAGTTTTAAGCTCTAAAATATTGATTTCATCGATTTTTTTAGCAAAAAAAATTGCAAAATATTAAGATTTCTAAGTTTAGGAAAAATTTGATCAAAAATCCTGCTTTGTAATTCTAATTTTTGATCTTCAGAGGATTAAAATAGAGAGTAAAAAAATATTCTAAGTTTAAGATTTATTCCCTTACAAGCTTAAAAAAAAATCGGACTATAGGCCGGGCCTAAATCTATAAAACATTAATTAGTAAGTAGCGGGTGTGTTAAGAGAGCAAAATTTCGATTTTGCAGGTTTATATCTACTATATTCTGATAATTCCCTACCATAATAGCGGATTCAATATATTTTTTAAAAAAAATTTTTTAATCCTATTTTATTCTATTTTAAAATTTTTATTAATTAGAGTTCTGTTAGCCGGTCCTATTAAAAAAAAACTGTTAGGGTCACATTTAAATTTTTAAAATAAAATAGACATATTTTAAAATTTTCGGAAAAAAACAAGAAGTCAATATCTTTTTTATTAGTTTGTAGAATTATCAAAAACTCGATTATGTTCAATCTAAAAAATATAGATTGAATTATGTTATATATTCTACTAACAAACTACATGTATTTTTACCATTTATTTAAATTATAAAATTTCCTTTTTCGCATACTAATTTTTTTAAAGATATGATTTTTTAATACTTTTTATAGAATTCACATTTATCTGGCCCTCTGGGTATACAGCTCAACACTCCAATTACGAATATAAATGGATGCCCTATCGAAAATTATGACACATGGCTTAAATGCATCAATTATATTTCTCAAGGTCCTCAGATTGGATATTGCATCAATTTGAAGCATCTGACCAAATTAAATTATAACAAAGACTTATCTCATCAATGTTGTCAGATTAAGGATGACGCCGATAATATCGCGAATTCTCAAAACGCATCGTCTCAAATTTGTTATGCCTATCAAGATAAAAGAGACGCGTTTTCACTGAGTCCCGAATCATCCTCCTCTAATCGTAAACTTTTTTTGTGTCTTCCTGCTAGATGGGTTGCGATCCGATATCCATTTTGCCACGAGAAAAATGATTGTTACAATTACGATTCCAATATTGAATGCGCTATACCTTACTATCACCATTCGATGTCAAATACCACTACGTACGATGTTTATAACACCTCCTTAAAGCTAAAAACATTTTTCCACATAACACAAACCAATCGAAACTCGGTCTTGTACGAATCATCATCAACTTACGAAATTTTGACTACCCTTTCAATCAGCGATTGGATACCTAAATGTCCCCTTTTCCCGGTGTTTTTACCCATGCTTATGACCATTTTTCTAGTTTACGGCGTTTCAGTTAATCTCACTTTAGCTCTCTTGAATGCTATTCCCTTCGTTTGCGTCTTGGATGGACGCCTTATATTACGGTGCCTTTTGGATTGTTTCGAAATTAGATTTTTATTTTCGGACAACAGGGACGGAGAAAGAAATTTTATCTCTCTAAAAAATATGGTATTTAAAATATTGACTACTTCTGGAACAATCTTATTGATCTGCAGCTTATTTATTACTTATAAAAATCATATATAAAATTAATTGGAAATTTTTTAATTTGCTCATATTTATTTATATATTACAAAACGATATTATATAATATAATATTATATTGAATTAGTGATACTTTAATTATCAAAAAAAAGAATTCCATATAATAAACTATAAGATTTCCCATCAAAAATGAAGATTTTATTAATTTAATAGGAGATGAAAACTTAAAGTAAAATTCCCATTATTTTATTTTACTATATAATATAAAATTTTAAGAAAATAAGGAATTAATTTGATTATTTTCTCTTTAAAATGTCTGTATAAAGATTAAAAAAAAGTGTAATTTTTTATGGCATGTAAAAATAAATAAAAATGCTATCAAATTCAAAAGCTACAAAGCAAGTATGTTTGTATTATTTAGAATGTGCCGTTCTTTTCTAAAACACTTATGATCTCATTTTTTCTTTTCTCGCATTAAGAATTAAACAACAAAATAATTTTTACTATTTATTATGATTTCAAACAATTTTTATAAAAGCAAAAAATATCAAATTACAAATTTTATAAACACAAAAAATTTGAATGAATTCAAAAAAAATGAATTAAAATATTACAATCTTTTCTTCCCTTATATAGGGAAGTGAATAATAATTTAAATAAATATTTAAAAGTTAAGTTAAAAATACATTTTAAAAAAACTACAAACCATCTAATCATAATTATAATTAAAAAATTACACTAAAAATAACTCAAATACGTAAAATATAATGACTTAAAATAATTTTTACAAATCTAAAAATATAAAACTAACGCGATAAACATAAAATTATATAAAAATCATCATGACTTTACTAAAAATAAAATTTTACAAATCTAAAAATACAACTCAATATTTTTATTCAATTACGACAGTATCATGGGTTTAAAAATAACTAAAGGCATAGGAATATTTGCACGCCACCACTCTAATCTGCCGCCGATATTTTTTGACCACGGCACGGCTTACAAAAAATGTAGGCACTGTCTTAAAATAGTATCTCCTTAAGACTGTCATAAATAAATTTAGCAAATGTCTATAAATGTCAATTACAAATTTACATATACAACAGGCGCGACACCGATGTAATAATAAGGTTGCGCGGCGGCGTGATACACATTTTTAATAAATAATACTAGGGCGTCACTCTAGTAAATAATATAGTAAATTGTTATTTTGAAAAGTAAATAATTACAGTTACTACTTGGATTTTTTTTAAGTAGGTAGTTAGAGTTATATTTCAAAATGAAGTATTTATGTTAAATGTTACTTGGTAAGAAGAAAGTTTAATAGGTTTTCCCGACATACCCAGTAGGTTTTGTATTTCAAATCATTAATTGAGCTCGTTTTATTATAAAGATCTGATTTTGTCTAAAATGCACCAATTAGATGTATAATGCCCATCCTATAAATTTCTGTTAATGATAGTCACTACCTTAAGGTATTACCTATCAAATTTGTATTTTGTTTATTTTTCATTTGGATAGGCACTGCCATTTATTTATAATATATATTTAAAAAATTGTGATTTTTTGAAAGCCTCTGTGGCTTAGTCGGCAAGAGCGAGCTTACCGATGGTTATGGGTTTGAATCCCAGCTGATCATATATTTTTTTCTTAATTTAACTTGGTGGTACCGCCTTTGGGGAAGGGGGGGGGTTGACGTATAGGAGGCCGGACTCGACCACGTGATTCCGTTATAATATATGTTAAATAATAAGGGTCTTATTACATTTTAAAAAATTTTGGTCGATATTTAGCATATTTAGTTGGTATTTAGAAAATTGCTATACGTTGACTTGGTGTGACTATCATTAACCATAAATTTCAAACAATTTTATGACCAACTATTGAAGAAACCTTAATTTATATTAATTTTTTTATGATTTTTCCATATTTTTAATGTAATTGCAAATAAATTGTCTGAAATATATATGGTAGGCTTTATACTGGAATGCATTTCCGGAAAATTAGATTTCTAAATTTAAATAACGCGTTCAATTAATAATTTAAAATGTAAAAAATAAAACAATACGAATCAGACTATCGCCTTACTAGTTATATATTATTCATATAACTCATTATTTTTAATATAATTTATATTTATACAGATAATTTTGTGATTTAAATTTTAATCAAGCGAATTTAAATAATGAATATATTTGCACTAAAAAATATTACAATATTATTTTCTAGAAATATAATAAATTTTATTTTAACATTAAACTATTTTCAAAATTTAAGAAAGGGATGTTATTTTTTTCCCATAAAATAAGCTTTACTAGGCTAAAAAACGTTCTATGCCGCCTTGTAGTCATGGGAAAGGGTTGCTCACTACAAAAAATTTTGCGACCCGCGAACTTGGTCTTCAAAGAGTTTTTAATGAGTTAGACAAAAAAATTAATGGCTCCCAAATAAATATTTTTACTCATGATTTTCTAAAATAACAAATATTACAATTGCATTTATAAGTTTCATTTTCACTGAAATCTTAATTTAACATATTTCATAGGCGTAGCTATGGGGGACGAGCACTATATTTTAATGGAGGTCCTTAGGTTCACTTATTGTACGACTTTGTCTATTAGGCTTTTATTAAAAAAATTTAGGATTTCACTTTTTTTAATTATAAAAATGCATTTTTTCTAAAAAACTTGAGTTATAGTCGTTATTTTAAAAGGTTATTAACTTAAGTTGATTTATTTTTCAAATTCTTCCTTATAGTGATTGATAAATTATATACATTTTTGAGAAAAGGGGATAGGATAAGGAATGTGGTGTGTGGGGGGGTATTAGCTTAAAAAGATATTTACGTGAACAGGTCTAGACTTATGAAATATTTACAATATACTTTTTGTTTTAAAATTTTGAAAAGTTTAAAAATAACAATCTTGATGAATATTACTTTTCTATGGTTTAACTAATGTTATTAAACGGCTCGTTTTGAGACGATTTAAAAACGGCTAACTCAATATTTTAGCCAGAAAAATATTGCAAAAGTCTCGTGATAATATATGTCTTGATCTTTGTTTCTTCTATGAACAAAATCTTCTGGTTTGTGTAATATTTTTCTGGCTAAAATATTGAGTTAGCCGTTTTTAAAAATCAGCTCAAAACACCGTTTAACAACACTTTTAATTTCGTTGAAATCCTATTTTAACATGTTTACAATATAAATATTTAACCATTTGCTTAAATTAAAAAAAAATTCACTAATGAGAATGCACATATATGAAACCGGAATATAACATTTTATACAATATATAGATAAACAATGATCTTCTTCTTTAGTACATTACATCATGGAAATCTTAATTTGATTTTTACAATATATATTTCCCCAATTTGCTTTAAATGAATGTAATGTTTTATTTAATCATTCCAAATTTTTAAATCCACCTTAATTTTTTATATTAGCCTATTTATAAAAAAAATATTCTTCACAGTATATTTGATCAAAGATATTTTATTACATAAAAATTAATAACGTTCATCGCCATACCTCATTAGTTATTACCAATCAACAATGATCAAAATTATTATGGTTTTATTCAAAATCAGGAATGAGATAAAGCTTTATTAAATCAATACCTCAAAAAATTTAAATCTTTGGAGATTTAACATTTTAAAATAGTCATAGAGCAAAATATTTGAAGATCATTGCTCAAAATTTATTTTAAATAAAGGATTTTCTAATTTATGAACAAAGTTCTTACTCAAATTTTTTAGGAAAAAAAATTTTCAGACCTTAAAGATGTATTTTTGATATCTGAAATTTATAAAGGTTGATATGAATTTAATTATCTTTTAAAAAAAGACTACATCAGGGTTTGCATTTAATTTTCACAAATCAGCATATTATAAGAGGTTTGAAATAATTTTGTTTCTTGATGGCAATAGAAAAATTAAAATTTCAAATGAATATAAATTATCATATTGTCTTATATTAGCCTAATTTAATTTGTTTTATTAAATATAAGAGTATTATATAAACAATAAAATTTATCCAATGGTATTGTAGAAAGTGATTTTGTGCTTGTGGAGGGAATATTTATATTAAGAGTAGATTGTGTTTTTAAGATATTTTCATTTTCATCATTAGAAGTATATATTTTATGTTTTATCAGATGTCTGCTTAAGGTACCTAATTATTTTATTATTAGGTTAAGTTATTTTGACAATGAATTATTCAGACAATTTCTTAAGAAAAAATAGAACTATATAAATAATAATACTGCCTATTTTGAATAATTTATTGCTTAAAAATTTATAAACAATTATTTTGTTACTTGTTGCTGACGATACATTAAATTTGGTATTGCAGTGAACACATACTCTATGTTTTTTATTGGGACTACAAGTAAAATGTTTCTTGGACAAACCTATGGTTTTTATATAATAAAATAAAAATTAACAAAATCTAAAATAACTCATCTAGAAAAATATCATAAAATAAATTATACAAAAAAATTATATTAATTAAATAGTAAAGCAAACTTAAAAAATAATAAAGGACCGGTCCGGATCACGGTCCTCAAAAAACGATCGGTCCGACAATTGGTCGGGTCCGGTCACAGTCTAAGACCGGTATGACCGGACCGTTAACCTTCACTAATGATAACCATCCTAAGGTAATATATAGCACAATTTATTTTTAAGTTAAGAGTATTAAAACATTCATTGATATAAACATATGATTTTGATAAAACTAAATCGCTTAAAAAAAGTATATTATTATAGCTCTCGTCTTCCAATAGGTTTAAACTATATGATAATTCTAAAATATTTTCTATTTATATTTTATTAATAACTTTGTGATTATAGTAAATTTATACAGAAAAAAACGTTTAAATTCATATATAATTTTATTTTTATGGTGCATATTTTTTGCTAGTCTTAAATAAATTTCGTTAATTATCTTCTACTATTATTCAAATAATCAATGGCACTATGTTATTAAAATTTAGTATATTACATTTTGTTGAAATTTTGCTTAAATGAAAATA